AAGCTCACATTGGGTCATTTACTCAAAAATATAAATATAGATGTTCAATCTCATCTAGAAACATTACTTTGGCTAGAAAGATACAGAATACATGCATTGACCAATAAGCAATATTCCTTTAACGATTTAAGATCATCGAAAAATTCTTATGTAACTTCATTTTTTTCAACTGATGTAGCGATAGATGCTGGTCCTTATGTTAATTTGTTTCGACTGTCTGGTGATTTGGTGACATATATGTGTGATATGATTGCATCGAATTTTTCTTCATTCCGAGAGATCGATGGAGATACAACATCAGATGCAGTTTTGGAAAGTCATACTAAATTTGTTGTTTCAGTGCTGATGAGCTTGTACAAATTACTCAATAACACTGAGGAAACACGACAACTAGCAATCACTGCTCTAATGAACTTATTTGAAATATCCTACGACAATGAAATTCTTCAAGCAGTAGCATGTGCTCTTGGCTATGTATGTAATGAAAAAACATATAAAAGTTTGTTTGAAAAAATTATATTAGTAGTGAATAGCTTATGTTATGAGACTTCTATATATTCTAATAATGTTTTGAGTGCACTAATTTCCAGTTATTCCTATTGTGTATCTATACACAATGTCGCCTTTGATCAAGATGATTTAGATTTATTATCTACTTTGTTGAGACATGATTCGATGGAAATTTTGAAAGCTGCTCGTACAGGATTTGGTCGCGTTCTTCAAGATAAGTCATTTCTACTTGGAATGCTTAGTTTTGATTATATGCAGTATTATCATGCATTGATCGGATCAACAGCATCCTGGTATATTTATGATGTTCAACAAAATAGCGAACATGCTGTCGTACAGTTAATTGAAGAGCGTCCAACTCTTTTGCCAGTTTTTATGGCCGAATTATATAATCAGATTCGTAACTTTAATAACAAAATAAAAATGATAGTAGACATAGATTTCGATTTAGCTTTTGGATATCCTCAATATGTTAGTATCGCTAGTTTAATTGCTATACGGATACCGGCAACATTTTTTGCTTTTATCAAAGATTGGAGCAATGGAGATAATTTGAAACGTGCATTGTTTTATGCGAGTAAACAACATAATTTTATACAACGTTCTGCTTGTTTAACAATTCTATCATTATTGGGTGAGTTAACTGTCGACCTATGTGAAATGTTCATCGAAGCTGTGCGTGATGATCCAAATGTTCAAAACAACTGTTATAAATATATAAAACACATTCATACAATTAAAGATGAGAAAATCGTTTTAAATCTTTTACTATCTTATTTAAAATCAAAATCAATGACAGTTCGATATATTACAGCTAAAATACTTTTTCATCTTTCTCAATCATATCTTATTCCATATAAACAAATTCAAACTATATTGAATGAACTTATGTTAGATTCTACTTCAAATGAAGATCTATGGTTAATTAAAGAGCAACATGGTACCTGGGCAGAATGTGAATATTACTATACTGGTTCATTGAAAGATGTTATTTATTCACTTCTGGTCCAAAATGTTACTGGACATGCAGGTAACAATGTTCAAAGGAATGAATTCAATGATATTGATTTGGATTTCATTGAATCTGAAAAAGCATCTCGCTTTGCTTCATATATCTATGAGAAAAAAATTGGAGACACCACGGAATAAAGTAAAAAAAAAACAAATTATTTGCTTCTTTAAAATGATAATTTTAAGCAAGATTTATATTACCTTGAACATATTATTTGATGAAGAAAAAGACAGAAAAATATGTTCATATGCAGAACAGTTTATTTACAACGTGTAAAATGAGAATAAATATTTTTTTAATAATAAAGACGATCTTATGAATTGTATGCGAAATGAAATATCGATCAGAATATTATCTAGCATCAATGAATATGTCTATATTAAAGAGAATTTTCATGTGTATCTATGCGACGTGATGCTGAGCATGAATCTATCGTGAACTTTTAGGATTCAGTTAGGTCTTGACTGTGATCATCTTCAGTTAATTAATAAAAGGATGTAGAAGTCAAAATAAATGATTTCACGCTTGACTGTGGTAGGTCGGCATACAAAACAAAGAATGATATACAGACTGAAAGTCTGCAGAAATACTCGAACTGGAATTTAATCATACTTTAGGGTACCTCAAACTTTGCCTATATACCTCTAGAAATACGAGGACAATTACTCCAATATTCAACACTGTCTGAACTGCTTCAAGATACTTTGCAAACTGGAATACAAACGCGAAGCATTCATTATGAATACTCAGCGATAATTCGGACTCAGTGCATTTCTGGATGAGACATCATATTTGATTTGATATCATCATCTTCATTATCAATAAATGACCACTAAGGCTGTAGATGCGTGGATGTGGGTGGGTGTGGCTGTCATTGAAAATAAGATCCACACTCGCACCTCAATTTTTGTTGTCGTAGCTGCTGTTTAACGACAATCTTCTATCAGAGTCGACATAAAACGACAAACTAGATNAGATCATTTGTGAAGTTGTTTGTTACAATTGTTAGCTGCTCATATCGTATCATCAATGTAACAAGACGAGGAAGATATGCATATGTATGAAATAGAAATTGATTAGCATAATCAATGTGTGCATTAATAAGATCGAGTCTTCTCAAATGTAAATATTTAATAATTGAAGAAATTTGACGTTTATTTTCTTGTGGTATCAAATTAAATATTGTTAATTTATTGAGTAATGGAAATGCTTGAGAAGCCCATTCGAAGAAATCATGTTCAAATGAATGCGTATCGTACAATTTTAAATCCGTAACAAATTGAAAATGACTACCACGAAAACTATTCGTAACATACATAAAACGAGTTATTTTGACTGGTGTGGAATAAATATGACAAAGACCAATTTCATTTGAGAAATAATCAACACAGCAAGATATTAAAGAATATTTCCAATCAATAAATGTCTTTTGAATATCATTAGTTGATAAAAATTGGACTGTATTAGAAGTAGAAATAAATGTACAGATATGAAATGTAAATGAATTCAGTTTTGACATATAATTGAGAACTTGTTCATCAAGATGAATACGATCAATGAATGTCAATCGTTCTATATTAAGGTTTAGAGTAAGATCTTTCAAATTTGACATACGTCGAAGAAGTGGTACTATGTGACAATCATAAGCATTTGTAAGTGAATAACAGAATAGAGAAAATTCAGTTAGATTTGGTAATACATTCTATAGAAAAATTCATCATTATTACCTTCAATTAGAGTAAACTTGAGATAAAGTTTACTTACCCTATTGTTAGTAATTGTTGATGATCTTTTGATAGAGCTAATATTGACAGTGAATGATGATAATTGACTAAGACGACCATCAAGTAAACAAAGACAATCATCAAAAGTTGCCACATTGACAAATAAGGTTCGCAAATTTGAAGAGAAACAAGTGTTTGGAAGTCGATTATAAAGTAACAGTTGAGCATTGCCATTGGAAGTAAATCGACTCATGTCAAAAAACGTTAACTGTTTACATATAGTAAAAATATGTGCACATCCATCTGTAAATGATTCATTCGATGCTTCCTTTTTTCTATTTGTAATAGTAATGTGTGCGATTTGTTTACGAAATAAGTGAACTATTGGTGATTCTTCTAATAATATTAATATCATGCAATGAATTTTTATAGAAAAATATATATCATCAAAGAACATTATATACCTGTTAAATATTGAGAAAAAATGTTTGGTTTATAATTTATAATATTGATAATACGAAGGTTAGGATATTGGCAAGCTAGAAGAATGCGTTTCATACATAATTGTTCAAAAACAAGTACTTTCAAGTGCTGATATATTTGAGGTAATATTTGAGCGCAGAATCGATCAAGTACAACATCATCAACTGGACTAAATTGAGAGTTCGATGATATAATTGAGAAGTCTAGAAACTTCGTGTGAACGATATATCTTGCTATTGTATCGAGTCGTTTGTTGACTCCCAATAATGAATAAAGAACATCAATAGGACATAGTTTTTTTGTAATAATAAGTAGTATTTCATCAGGTAAATCAAGAAAGTGAATAGATTTATGTTCCATAGTAGATAAATATTAAATGACGTTTTTTTCTTCAATATTCAATTATTTATCCTACGTCTGCTGCCGTCCATGATGTGTATAACATATTGTCCATTGTTATTCAGAAAGTGACTATACATGATACTGCGAAAATTTCTATTTTTTTCTTATACAGTTGATTGCACTGTGGACGAATAAATCATTTCTTTCTCTTCTTCATTGAAAATTTTACCATGGTTATAGAGATCAAGCACACTAGAAAAAAATAAAATTGAATTAAGAAATATGATTGGCGTTGCTATTTAGAAACATCAATCATATTTCTTAATTCAATTTTATTTTTTCTAGTGTGCTTGACCCCTTACTGTGTAACTTTCTTCAGAGTGTAATGCACGAGAGTAGAATTGATATACGCGATATAATAAAAACAAACAATAAGTGCATGAATGAAATATCAAGAGCAACATAATACTGTGTAAAATTTTATTATTAGTAGTAAAATCAATGTCGTTCTAATGTTTCATCATTACAAAGTACGGTAATTTTACCTATAAAACAGTTGTAAATAAGTTAACACTATTACTGTATATTACATTTAATTTTTTCCATTTCCTTATTTTATGTGCACAAAAAAGAAACTACTCTATTTGGAAAATGAAAATTATCAATAGTTAATCAAATAAAACAGACGCTTTAGCTTTCAAAATCAGTTGTATTATATAAACTAGAAATACAGCTTTTCAATTAAATCACAATAATTAAACAGACTATTTTAGTACTAATATGGAATACAAGGATCATCTGCTTACAGAAAAATCACATATACAACATTTAATATTGCATGATTTGCATAGTACGAAGAAGATATGTCTGCTCTTCTATTAAAAATTAGTCTCAATACAGCTAAAGAGTAATTATGAATCAAGTTATCAGACAAGAACATATCAGCGGTATATACCAAATTGTTACTCGAATACGTAGATTATTTTCTTTAGATAACATCCTGAATATACGTACATTTATATGCGAAATTGTCATCGAATCTTAATGGATTATACTTTAATAAGATTTTTAAAACAGTTACGTGATGTGAAGAGATGCATATAAATCATTATTATGATATAACTTATCACAAGTACAATAGAATAATTTAGAAAATATTTCTGTATCAAAATATATATTTGTGGTATACCGAAGTTCGATTGTTTCTTCAACGTTATTTTCAAAATATATTTTTTTGTAATGAAAGATTTTATGAGTGATAACCTAATTATGTTAAGGTCTTCTTTCTTTCTCCTTTCTTCCCCATTCAAAAAATCATTTTCCGTCAGAATAGTCGAAATTAAGATAAATGCATGGAAAGGAAGTCCGTGATCTGATCTCTCAAAACCGACAAAAATTTTTTCGTAGACGCGTCATTTTTTTTTCCAAAAATTTTTGAAGATTCCCATGATCTCCTATTCGAAAAATAAATTATTTTCGAAAAAAAACTAAAAATCTTTCTTGTTTTTTCTTCGTTCATGATATGTCGAACATGCAACCCAAATTTCTTAATTCAGACACATGTGATATTTTTAAATTTTCTTTTTGTTGGAAAGAGCACGTCAAGATATAGGATATCATAGAGTCTTTTTGTTTTAATAAACTTTTTTATTAGGAGTGGCACATTACTATTACTTTTTATTACTATTACTCGGTAATTGATAATAATCGTTGGTAAACCTGAAATTGGTCGAAAGTAAAAATGTCGAAATAAAAATGCGGGATCTTAATGTGGATGTAAGAGTTAGAATGAGGGAGAAAAACTTCTTCTCCCATACACTATCATTTTCAACATTTGTATCTTTCGACATTTTTACTTTCGATCAGAGTAGGGTGAATCTTTCATTGTTCAAGAAAAGTCACAAGAGTGCAATCTTACACTTTAAATCAAAACTAGGAGCATCCAGACATTTTATATCTAGTAGATTTTAGAAGAAATCTTGAGTAATAAAGTCCATCATGCCATCTATCTATGTTTATCATTCTTCTTACAACATAAACACGATGAGGGTGTGGGTGTGGGTGTGGGTGTGGGTGTGTGGGTGTAGGTGTAGCTGTGGCTGGCTGTGGGTGCAGATGTACTGCGGGCATGCGGATTTTGATGGGTATGGGTGTGTGGATCCGTGCTCGTCAGGGTGTAGGTATCTGTGTGAATGTGGGTGACTGTACCTATGGTCCGTGTGGGTATGGGCAAGAACCTTGCCTTCACGAACACACCTATGCCTCGCAGCTCACACCCCACAGTCCACGCTTCCTCAAGCCATTATACGATTCATTCCTTATCGATTTCACGCTAAACGTTTCCTCGCGATAAAGAGAAAAGTAGTTAAATTAATCACTTCATCAACCGCGATTCAACTGTAGCTATACACATTTACACTATTATTTTTTCGTATGACTTCAGCGACGATCTCAAAACGTATGCGAAGGCTTTTTCTCACTCACGAGGGGAAGGTCTCCAGGTGGTTAAAAGCTTTTGAGCCTATTTTTTACACAGTGGTAGGGGACCGAGGGACTAGAACAAACTCCAAAGGATTGGAGCTGAAGTTGAGATTTGACCCAGATATTGCCATATTAGTGGATTTTTCCTGTGTGAACCCAATTTTACGATAAAATCTTGTTGTCAAGTGTTGGCCTGAAAACTATGCCCAGATGAAGGTCTCAGTGAGAATAGCTTATGCAAAAAATTTCAGAAGTTTTCGATCAAGTATCTGTGAGATACATGGTTTTTAGACTTTAGGCGCTTTTCCATTGATATCATGTAAAACATGCACATTTTAGAAAATGCATATCTTGCAGACACTTGGTCGCAAACTTCTGAAATTTTGTGCATAAGCTGATCCCATCGAGACATTCATCTGGGCATAGTTTTCAGGCCAAAACTTGACAACAAGATTTTATCGTAAAATTGGGTCCACACAGGAAAAATTCACTAAAATGGCAATATCTCGGTCAAATCTCAACCATCAGCCCCAATCCTTTGGAGTTTATTCTAGTCTATAGGTCCTTTATCACTGGATAAAATATGGACTGAAAATCTTTTAATCATCTCGGGACCTTCCGTCGTCAGTGGTTGCTCAAGAAAGATGAACTATTGTCCCCTCAATTTGAGTCGACTATGATATTGACGAGTCATTCCTCACTCCCTTATCTTTATACCTCTTTTGTACTGTGCGATTAGGTAGTCTGATACTGTGTGATGCATTTCTCTATTTTTCTGTTGTATTTCGGCAAAAATGGTTTGACCCTCACTGTGAGTAGATATCTAGTTATGTTCCTGCATTGCTTAGACAGTCAGTGGATAAACGCGTTCTGTCTCTTGCTGCAAAACAGTATGAAAAGGTTCCTTCTGTTATCTTTCTACCACGGTGATAGGTTAGAAGCCAAGTAGGCTCGAATTACAGTAGCAGTAATATGTCATATCTATTTCTCATTTTGTGGAACAAAGATCTTTACGATAAAAGATTACGTTTGTACAGATCGATTTGCTGCATTGAGTATCATGTGCAGGCCTAAATTGATAGTTTTACTTCACTCTACTTTTCCGCCTAATCCAATTTAAAGCAAAGTTTCAGCCTCAGAGCAGATGCTACCACTTGTTGCAATACATCTTTAGGAGGCATTGTATCTGAGCCACGACCAACGTTGCACAATGAATGTCACTGATTTGGCTGATAATATTACATTAGGTAAACCTACCAAACTTAGCAAGAAATTGAAAATTTCAGCGCGAACGAATAAGCCATTCAGCAGACATACACGTTACAACTATGAGAGAGTATCCTATATTACGAGCACTTCTTAGAGCAATACATTTCAGTAAATTTTCATTTTCTAAACAACACTAAGAGCTATAAACGAGATCTTGTTTTTACTAAAGATACTATTCATGATGGCCTACCTCATCATTGGATAATTATTGCTAAGTATCATGCACCATTTTCAGAAAACATACCTATCTACCTAAACCAAGTGAGACGGATCAACGGAATAGCATAACTCGAGAATGGCCTTATTTTAAAGAGCATGTCAAAAGGCGTGGAATTCCGTTCTCAAAATTTTGTGATATGAAATTTTAGTATAGAAAAGTGTTTTCCACAATATTCTGAATTATTATGAAAAATCTTTATCTAGAAAATCATGATTGCACTCGATATTTTTAGCATATCATTATTATGAATTGTCATTTTTAGAAAAGTAATTTTATATTCTTATAGTCTATAAAATTCTTCACAACTCTGTATGTAAACATTTACGATTACATTTATTCGCGGAGACAAATTAAGCAGACAAAAGATATCTTTATCAGCTAAGTTTTTCGAATTGCATTTTCTGTTGCTTTTCTATTTGTCTTTTTGAAAATTATTTCAACTATAGAAATAACTTTGTAGAAGGTAAGCTATATATTCTGATAGCGCATGAAATTCTACATCTTTTGATGTCCTAATCAAAAGGTAAAAACGCGTGCACAGGTATTTAGTAGGGATCACATCTATATAACCATGAAACACATTTTAGACGAAGCTAAACGGGTTTATGTTGGAAATCTTCTATGTTCCAACAGGTTTTCATTTGGAAGCATGAAGAAAACGCATCTATATGCACCTATCACTGTATTTGACGAACGCATGTAGAGAAAATTCATAGTTTTGGAGCATATATGTAGACGAAACGCATAGAAATGCATAATCACCTTTTATTGTGAAACGCGTTGTGACACATTCATATTATTCTATGCCTCTGATCATGTTTAATAGTGGAGAGAAGCTATGTCTCTTCAACTAAATACTGTTTAATTGACAGACTCAATAAAATGCGTTTCACTGTATGTTTCTGTCAATCTGTGGAATTAGCAGAAACTCGTTTGAATGCAATGCTTTCTAAAACTCAGTTGAACGTATAGTTATATAGTTTAGTTAGTGAGAATAAATACTTAAAACAAAAGAAAGTTACATGTGTGTGAAAATGCGCTTATGATT